AAAAAAGCCGAACACAATTTTGAAACTGACGTCTTTAGCTATGTCCTGTGAAAATTTGAGAAAAATTGGTTAAAATCCGCAGGAGCACAACTCATTTGAAAATCGGTAATTACCGTAAAATTTTACGGGAGAAAATGGAATTTGAATATTACATTTTCAATGTTTTTCTTATTGCAAGCGAAATGTATTTTATTAAATAACTCTGCGAGTTTTCAACATTTTTCGTTCAAATTTGGTCAGATGGTAGAACTAGTCTAATGCTTTCATCGAAACCAATAAAAAATGTTAGGCAAAATTAACACTCAAAGGTGTTCCAGATGCGCCCTACTTTGTTAGTTTACTCTGTCTAACGCCAGACAATTTTACTCGTCAGGTGGAGAGTGCATGGCGCCACTCAATGGGTTAACATAGTCGATGAACATGCCAAATGATCCTTGACCGTGGTAGTGCATTTTTGCACTTGCTGGATGATATTGCAACCAAACATTGGTTCAGAGGAAGAGCTCTGAGATCATGCTGTGTAGCAATTGGAATCTCGCATAGAGCCTGCTCTCGCATAAAGCAGGCAAGGCCTTCACTCAGAAGCCAGGATTAACATCAATTCCCCACATAAACACTTGGAAACCAGACTGTCCCATCTGCCATATGCAGGACAAAAAACATGCATCCTGGACTTTAACTGTTAAACAACCAAATCAGCATGATAAAAAGTGTGATGATTTTTGCTTAGCCCAAACCAAAGCCAGTTTTCTAGAATTAATTTGCAAAATGCTAAGAATTGGACCTTCAACTTGAAGAGCTAGCTGTGCTAACCAAGTTGCATGGGCAACCCTCAATTGAAGTGACTAGAGCAAATCTTCAAAAAATAATAGAGAGATCAGATTTGACTTCCACTACTGCTATTGCTATCATTAACTAATCAGATAAGTTTCATTTATCCAATCAAACAATCGAATGCAACTGCCAGATCAAGTAGTGGTAGTGGAAGTCAAATTTGAACCTTTCTATATGGATTTCAAAGAGACCAGTCATTATTTGCTGATATATTATTATAACTTGTATAATCAAAAGCTACTATAGATATTCATTTATGATATTAAAAATTGATATTTATCTATAAAGTGAGAATAATTTAAAAAACATATTCATAACATAAAATGATACATGCATGCTGGTGATTGAATAAAACATGAAGGGTGCATTCTGAATCTCTACAAATTCCTTGACATTATTTTTCCAGTACAGTATAAAACTATATAAATGTGACACAGGTTGCAGGTATTAGGTTGCATGTCCACCAGTGTGCTGAAATACCATCCAGTGACCCGGTCTTGTTCATTGTTACTTGCATCTTGCTTAATTCAACTGTTTTTGCCCTATTTCTTGTACCCATAAAGTTCATTTCAATAATCTAGAAAATTTCAAAATCATTCAGTAAATTTAATTTTAAAATTTGGTGAAAGGTAAGGGGTCAATAATAGATGAAGAAATCATTTCTTCTTGTTCATTTTATTGAAGTCTTCAGAAAGAAATTTATTGAAGCCTTCAGAAAATAATTATGGCAACAAGGTTACATGCCACACTGCAGAGTTAGGCAATTTTTTTAAAGATCTCAAGGGCACAAAGTCAAAGAGTATAAATGTAGAATCTAGGGGCAAGGTAACAAAATAATGAAATTTTGAGATTCGGGGGCAGGTTTGACAATGGGGTGCTAAACCGAAATATCCTAGCAGGTTATGTTCATCAGATTTTAGCTTGGTCAACCTGGCCACTCTGTTATTACAGTAATGGCTCATTTAGTTCAGGTCATTAAATGTAAATACAAAGTATTTGAAGTTAATACTGCTGTAAACTGTAGTTTAATAATACTGTAAGTGTAAACACGTTTCTCGCAGCGATAAATCAATATTGTAAATAATAATCATGTGAGAGTAGAACTTTACTGAGAGTCTGAGTATAGTATTATAGGCCATAGTCTGGCCATGTGTTTCTCAATATTTAAATTACAATTGTACAAATTCAGCTTACTATATTAACATACTGTATAAAATATATTAAATAGCCTTCGAAATATATATTTCATAGAGCTAGTCAGTGTAACAAATAATGGGAATCTGCTAAATAATTTGTAACAATGAAATACTTACTGTACCTTTTACTTGATGGAAATCATCACAAATAGTATGTACGAGGTTGGCTCCATTTTCACTGCTTCGAAATTCGAAACATCGCCTACTCGGCGATTTATATGATGCGATATAAAAGAAGATTGATGTACATTCGACGTAATATATTAACGTAACATATTAAAAAGAAAGATTACACAAGAATATAAATAATCCGCGGCAATTCAAGTTCTATTCGTGAACTTTTCGTCGTTGCCCTGTCTTTATTTCTATAAAGCCCCCGCTCACAGGCTAATACTCCAAGAATCTTGGAGTATTTGCCTGACACGTGACCAGCGTTTACCAGGGCCTCGCCCGCTTTGGCGGCCATATTAAAAAATCGGGCGGGCAGGCCCTGGGTACGAGGTTGAACGCTCGGCTGCGCCTCGCGTTTTATATCTGATAAAACACTCCTACTCGTGTTTTAAATAGTACATAAAAGACATATGTTCAAAATACGAAAAATTGACACAATATAACGCATTGACTTAATCGAACGGTTCTTAAATTTAGTTTTGTTGTGAAAATCGGTGTGAAAACTTTCAAAACATTCAAGTAGAGTCTGACTTTTCGTATAAAACAACTCGTAACTGTCTGCACTATAGTTTTATTGGATTCTGCAGATAAAACACTACATGTGAACTGAGTTGAATGATAGGACTTACGTAAGTTTCGGTGACAGTTCAGGGGTGCCTTGAAGACAGAATAAAATATCATTTCAGTTCGTGACACTGTCGTTGAAGATTGTGAGCATTATGAAATACATTACTACATTACTGAACGTATTAAATATATAAAAACACATTGAAAGGTAGGTTAAAAACTAGTTGACAACATACGTACTGTTTGAATTTTGAAAAGTACAGGATTATAATAAAAAAACCGGCATTTTCTTTGAAGATAAAAATACAACTCAGAGATCCCAAGATAGTGCAAAGTTGATATGACAAATGATAATTAAGATTTGTTGATTCGCATAATGATTAATATATGAAATAGGATTGATGCATCTATAAGGAAGTACAAGCCAAGACAGTAAATTTTGTTGTTTTCGCATGGATAATTTTCCATGGCTTAATTCCTTGAATGGTGGCTTTAGTCCAGATCTTTTTTCTTTGCTTTTAATAATTCAATTTTCTACCCATTTTCCGTTGTACATTTAATACAAAACAAAATAAACCGCCTTCAAAAATCGAAATGAAACAAAAATGAACAGCTTGCAAGAAATTGTTGTCACCTGACATTCGAGATCATTTCCAGATTTAGAAAGCCAATGAGAAAACAGGACGGGTTCAAGTCGACTGCGTGCTGGCCATGTGCTCCAGAAGTTGCTGTCTAATGACTCTACAGTAATAATATGCAAACAGAACTATGGCCGACATCTAAATATTTCTCACTATTAAACATAATATTTTACAGTTTATCAATGAAATATCATAACGGCATAAGTGAGAAATACCAATAGTTTGACAAAAGCTTGGAATGACTGATTATATAAAACGTCTCGAAACAATACGAACTGACATTACTGACTACAGATTACAATGAGTACAGAAATTTCTGCTATTAAAAATAATATAATTCACTACAAACACTAGATCATTAATACAGGTATTTATAGTTCACTGGGACACTGGCTCTCGCCGGGGTCGCCGCTACAATTTTATAAATACGCTCGACCTCGGCATGTTGCCTCTGGAGCAAAATTTCAATTTTATTTTATTATTTACTATTTATTGGGCCATGTAAACCTAGCTCTATCGCGATATAATGATACAAGAATACGCTAGCTGATATAAATCAGCTGCTGACTTACAATTTTATATCAAAACTATCCACTGGCACTTATTCATGACTCATGTATACATAATACATCGCTCCGTATCTTTCATAGATAAACCACTGTGCTATAATACTATCAACCTCAGATGTAATACACTCTAGTCTACACGATTTCTGCATTTCACACCGCCGCTCAATAGTCACCGCTCGTCCATGTTCGCCATTGTAAAATAATAACATATGAGAGCACGTGTAATTATGCACGTGTATTTATGTTGCAGGGGGGCATATCATATAATAACAAGTGCTTGAAATGCAACAGTAATTTGGTTATAACATCTCTAAATGTCGGATAAATAAGTAAGAACATGTACCATCATGAATATAAATATAGATTGTTATAATCTACAAACAGCTATGAACGATTAGTTGGCCGAACATCGCGAAGCTCTAGAAAACGTGATAAAAAAATCAGTTGCACGCTCCCCCGGATTGTTTACTCCATCGATCCATAGATCGATCGATCGATCCATTGATCGGTCACTGAATTGAATTTAACCTCATAACAATAGTGCAAAGCAACTTTGCACTAAAAACAACTTCCTGCGGCTTGTTTTCAAGATTTTTACCGGGCCACGAAGATTCCACGCGCGAGTCGCGAAGATGACGTCTGATCTATATAAATGTTGTAAAGTGGACTATAACTGTTGGGAGCCACCTTTTAAGGCGCAAAGCAATTTAATGGGATAAAGATGCGGTACTACAGTCCGTTCTGCGCATGCGTATATTGGAGAACATAGTACAAACAGTTTAGCTGGGTTGTATGTTTTTGCAAAGCCTGATAATGCTAACATGATCATTTTAAAGCAGATCACACTAAAGCAGGAAAAATCACACTAAAGCAGGAAAATATATATATATATATATATATATATATATATATATATATATATATATATATATATATATATATATATATATATATATATATATATATATAGTTGTCTTCACTTCGCTTAATCACCCCAAACGTATCAAAACGTACTGTAGCGTTTACTTCTGTGGCATTAGTTCTGCTAAGTTTTCTCCAAAACAAAAATACGCCATGTTTGTTATGAAACGTTTGGAATGGACAACGTGTATTAGAGAGTAGGTAACTGTATTCGATTTTCCAAACTTACAAATATTCAGTGCAAGCTTTTTAAGAGTATTTAAATCATCATCCATGGTTGCAGATAAATCCATCAAAATGTAAAAGTCAACAGGATAGTTCGCGGAAGGTTCAATTGTTAATGTGAATGTAATAGGCTCACCTAGAAACAAATAAAAATATTTAGAAAATATCCGTTGCTATCAAACAAGTTAAAAATAGAGAATACATACATACAGCAGCTGATTAACAACAATTAGCGCGAATTCAAAGTTCAAATTAGAATTATGTATTCTGCAGTAACAACAATGTTCCACAAGTAAATAGGGAGTTATGAAACGACGCTACTTCCTATTACAGCATGAGAGACTAACGTCCACATTCAAAATATGTTGCTGTACATTATAACTTGAATTGTTCAAATATTAAGTCGAGACGAAATATCGAGCCCAATATTGAACTCGAGATTTATCGGGCAAAGATGAAAATACAGTGTACTGTAGATGTTTTAAAATTGCGCAAAACAAATCCAGCACAAGCGAGCGAGCGACAAAAAAATTGTACAACTGAAAATCCCCCCCCCCCCCCCCCTCCCACGATCACTTTTCTAATGGTCCACATCTAAACACATGTCGATCTTGACAAAGAAATATAACAATGTACAGGTATTCGCTTGGACGTATTATAAACAAGTCAATGAACGTATGGCACTGACCAATCACATTCTATACCCTACAAAATTGAACGGCACGTAGTCACAATTAGTAGTCAGGAAAGCCGTGGTTTCTTTCAGGCCATCGTTCTCCGTTCGTCTTTTCTGCTTCAATGAGGGCAGGCTAGTTGTATCAGTAATACACTGTGAGTGTATATTGATATTAATATTTATATTATTTACTTTATAGATTAATTTTATGATACCGGTGTTCAGTATTTTTCAAAACTGTAAGAGCCAGGCCCAAAATATGCGAGTGTATATCTTCTTGGTCACCACCCATCATCAAGTTTCACAGTTAATACAAAAATCTAGTGTATACAATATATACCAACCTACACGCACTTTGGCTGAAACTTTTTTAGGTGTTATCTGATTTAAGTCTGTCAGGACTTCCTCTTCCAGCTATAAAATGGGTTGCAATAAATCAGTATTTTGTATCACTTTATAAGTAATAGATAAAACATGAGCAGCCGATCTATATCTGATATACAAACTCGAGCCGAAGGCGAGAGTTTGTATATCAGATACAGATCGGATGCGAATGATCGAAATAATTTTTTTCTTTCATAAGTATTTTATTGGTAAGTATTTCAAAATTTGCCTTCCACAACCAAAGCTGATGAGTGTTTCAACATTTCATATTCGTATCTCCACTGCATGTCGTACGCACATAACAATGATATCAATGATTATTCCATATCAACATTATGATGCCACTCCATTTAATATTTTATCAAAACTCTATATTTGGCCAGCTATTGAGTAGATAAATAAATAATATAATAAATACAGTATATTGAAGCACACTTACTGTTGGTTGAGGATCTGGATTGCCATCGACTGTCATATTACATTGGAATCTGGCATGTTCCTGTGGTGTGTTACATCGAGTACTCGTATAATTCTAAAATTGTCAGTAAAACATTTCATACCATATACCCAGTTCATTTTTATTTAAAAAAAATGGATTATACAGTAGCTTTACTGTACATTTTAACGAAACACAATGCATTCTAAAAAAGCCTTTGGCTTTGATTATTTGATTATTGTCGGGGTAATACTGTACTGTAGTAATCAAATTAAAAATTCCATGTACTTATCAGTTCTCACAGCTTAGATGTGTATTTAAGAAATAAAAAACGAGTCGCGTGCGTTTATGGTAACTTTTGATAAAATTTTGATGCTAAAGTTGCGGAGAAACTGTTTAAAATGCTGGGGGACCCCAGTGATACACAGACTAATTTGCTAATCTTTTTTATCAGGGCGCTTGGATTTGCCATGAAAGACGTTAAATCGTAGGTTTCGTCGCCTGTCGTTGAATATATCTAGCAGTTTTTACTAGAAACATTGAAGGTAGTTTCTAAATCACAAATATTACACAAAAACATTTAAATCGAAGTGGTCTGCATTTGAATAGAGACGGAACTACTCAATTAGCTCGTAATTTTTTAAATATCATAAATCATAATAATTGAAATATTGCCGGATGGGAATCCCTAATCTCTGTGCTGCCAGATGATAATAATGATAAAACTGAAGATAC